TGGAATTACTACTGATGATTTAGATTCCTTATTGTTGGTGTTGTCTTGTGCATATTTGACATGCATGTCGTCACCATTATTATTATTATTATCACTATCACTACTATAATTATTTATTTTATTTTTACATTTCCCTACATACTTTTGACTAATTTATCGGGGTAATTATTAAGTTTCAAGGCTTCTCTTATATGTATCACTTCCTGTCTTAGATTTTCCTTGGTACTACTTAGTTTTTGTGCTCTATTACTTAAACATTTCACCAATCCTATTTTTACTGACATAGGATGGGATGATCGGAAGTCCAAATATCTGTTTGAGTGTGTGGGTTTCCTGTAAACACTAGTGTTTAACTTCCCATCTTCTTTCATTTTTACGTTGTAATCTAACATTGGAAGCTCCCCTTCCTGACTTTCCAATTCATCAGTGAATTGAATTGCCTTCACCTTTGACTTAATGTGTTCGAAAAACCTATCTATACCTTGTGTTCTAAGTACAGTGAATGTGTCATCTCCATACCTCCACCATACTTTTGGGGTGGGGATGAACGTTCCAATCGCTATGTTTTCCCACCTATCCATGAATATTTCTGCTACCACTGGGAATATTGGTGATCCCATGGCAACTCGCTCAGTTTGATTGTATATTTTCCCTTGGAATTTAATCCATCTAATAAATAAACTAATATGGAATTGCTTACTACCACAGTGCCCAAGTATTACACATATTTTCTATAGTTTGGTTTGCAAGGATTAGTTATGTTTTACGAGTTGATAACGGACTGATATCAGTTAGAGAACCATTGAAAACCAGCATTGGAGTACTGGACAGCTGCTGTTTCATCCCAGTTTGGGAATCATCGGCGGTACGCACCCACCGCCAGGGTTCGAACCCAGGACCTTCCGGTTACAAGGCAAGCTCGTATACCATTCAGCCACTGGGACCCGATTCACTGGCTCATGAATTCTAACTTCTACCAATTCGTGATTTTAGCGCGATCCCAGCCATTGTCGTTGGTGGGACATCCATCCACACACGTGACATCTAATTGGACCTCACTGGTCACGACTTCTCACTAGAACTCCAGGAAGCTCCATCCTGTAGCAAGTCACTAGCGAGCATCAGATTAATTTTCTATAGTTTGGTTTGTAAGGATTAGTTATGTTTTACGAGTTGATCACGGACTGATATCAGTTAGAGAACCATTGAAAACCAGGGAGTACTGGACAGCTGTTTTTTCATCCTAGTTTGGGAATCATCGGCTAAATCACGAATTGGTAGAAGCTGGAATTCATGAGCCATTGAATCGGGTTCCAGTGGCTGAATGGTATACGAGCCTGCCTTGTAACCGGAAGGTCCTGGGTTCGAACCCTGGCGATGGGTGCGTACTGCCGATGATTCCCAAAGTAGGATGAAACAACTGTCCAGTACTCCAGTGGTGGTTTTCAATGGTTCTCTAACTGATATCAGTCCGTGATCAACTCGTATTACACATATATGAAACACAGTTTCGTTTTTTTTCATTCATTCATCAATATATTGTTCTGTAAATAATTATATAGTGTTAGTTAGACAGAGTTAATTGATTATTTCAAAGTTTACAGTTATTGTAAACAATACAGAAAAGGAAAAGCACCTAATAGAATAGCTTTATTTTCGATTGTTAATGGGAAGGAATATAAAAAAAGCAACAACAACAACCAGTGAAACGTTTGTTTTCTGTCTTTCGCCTCACATCATTTTTAAGTGAGAACTATATAAACGCCATTGGTTTTCTTATTTTTGATGTCGACCGAATGTTTTGTTGAATAGATTTTGTCGTCTTTCACTTCTCTCGCTGTCTCTCGAGTAGTTAGAACTCTGTTGTTTTACTTATTTTTATCACTGTCGTGAAAAATAATAATGCTGCACAAATAGAGCACGTGAATCTACTTTATTTTTATTTTCATTCGACTAGTTTAATATGGTACGCTTTTCATTCCCTTAAGTTTTTTTTTGGAACATTTTCACTTTGATTTTTCCCATGCATTCCCTTTTGAAGTCGCTGCATGATTGCCTATGAGTTTTCATTGCCTCCTCATCCTTGGACTGACGCTTAACTCGTTTCTCATTCTGGTTCCATTCAACTATCTCCATTTTCTTTCGGAATATTTTTTGTCTGATAGGTTCTTAGTTAATTTGCTGTCAAAGTTTCTTGTTTCTAATTCTTTCTGACTGGTCATCTCATCTTTAGTATGGGGTCAACAAAGGTGGGTGTGTTGATAAAAGTCTGCAGCAATCCTGTTGGGAATATTTTTGGTGGCATACGAAATCTCTGAACCAGACAGAAGAAGTGACATGACTTGACATGAGTGTTAAAAGTTGGAATCTTGTTCTTTGCGCTTAGTGCATTAGATTGCCAGACTGATTTCAGATTTTTTTTCCTTCACTTTCCTCAGTGGAACATAGGGCTTCAAGCTAGTGGCTTGAAGTTTCTGTAGCAGTGTTTATTTTACAGGATGGGGTTGCTAGCCTCATGCCCAACCTTTCCTCTTCACCAGCATTATTTCTGGCTTAGCGAGGTGAAGGAGTGAGTCGGCCGAGGATCGAACCCCGGACCATGTGCATGGTCGGCGAGCGTCCTAACTGCTATGCCACCGACTCACTGGCTCCTCGAACCCGGGCCTTCCACGCGACAGGCGGAGATACTCACCACTGTACCATCGAGGATAATTTCAGATTAATGAAGGCTTATCTTGCCATTTACATCCTTGTTGGCTTTGACATTGTCATCCGTTCCGACTGCTTGTAATTGAAACTATGCTGTCTAAACAACAAGTGAGAGAAAAGACTCTTCCTTTGGGATTTCTCCGGTTGATAGTGACTAATGGTTGTTTCTTTTGGTCAGGTAGCAAAATCTTTTTGTCAATGGATTGCTGAATTTCGCGTTTAAAACATCCGTTGAGTTAAATGGATATTTTATTTTAAAGATGAAAAATAGTCCATTGTATTTACAATAGTTTAAGAAAAATGTTGGTGGCACAGCGGTTAGGACTCTCGCCGACCATGCACATGGTCCGGGGTTCGCCCCCCCTTCCGACGCACACCTGATATCAATGGTCGGCCTGCAAAATTTGGGCTACCGATATCACATGCTGAAAATTCCATACCTGTGGCGTTGGTGGCATAGCGATTAGGACGCTCACCGACCATGCCCATGGGCCGCGGTTCGATCCCCGGCTGACGCACTCCTTTATCTCGCTAAGCCAGAAATAATACTGATGAAGAGGAAAGGTTGGGCCTGAGCGTAGCAACCCCATCCTGTAAAATAAACACTGCTACAGAAACTTCAAGCCACTAGCTTGAAGCCCTATGTTCCACTGGGGAACGTGAAGGAAAAAAAAAGAAAAATGCTTGTCATATGAGGTGTTTCTGAGCTCTCATTATGCTAAAGCTATGAGGAATCTCAGACGAAAAAGAACTATGAAGAAAATTTATGTGACAGCTTAAGATAGTTGAAATAATGGTAGCTAATAAGAAGCTTAGAGGGAGGCGGAAGTAGTCTGAATATCATAATCAACTAATGATGGCCAAGGTAGGGAAAGCGTCTGAACGAACTTCTTCCGGTAGATTCTCATGGCTTGAGCTAGATGAAAAAGACGAATTCTCGTAAGATAAAATTAAGGTTAGTTGAAAAACGGTAGATAACTTTAATAGCTTTACGATTATTATTCCGTAGTCTAGGTGTCATTACTTTAAGTCTTGTAGAAATTAAATTTTTGCTCACATCTGCTTGAAAATTTCATCAATTCTGTGTTCAAACTGATTGTTCAATGTAAGATTGTTACACGATTTCATGATGAGCTGAAATCGGTTAGAGAACCACTTGGAAACCTGGGAGTACTAGAGAGCTGTTTCATCCTGGTTTTGGACTCTTCATCAGAACGCACCCACAGGGATTTGAGCCCAGTGTCTCTCGGTTACAAGGCGAGCTCGTAGACCGTTAAGCCACTGCGACTCGATTCACTGATCAGCCTATGAATTCCAACTTCTCCCAACTCACGATATACCGTGAGCACCAGCCACCAGTCATCAGCGAGTATTCTTCCCCAGACCCGACCTGCTATACCCTGCTGGTCGAGACTTTTCACCTACCTGGTTGCGTTATACCGGGAATCGGCAGAAGTTAGAATTCATGGGCCATTGGATCGGATTTCAATGGCTTAATGCTCTGTGAGCTCGCCTTGTAACCAGCAGGTCCTGGGTTCGAAACCCATTGGGTGCGTACTGATGAAGAGACCCGAGTACTAAGACGGAAGATCTGTCCGGTACTCCCAGGTTTTCCGATGGTTCTCCAACCAATGTCAGCTTATAATGAAATCTCGTAACCAATCATATGAAATCCTTACAAACCAAAACTTAAGATTGTTATAGTTATTATTATTATTCCCTGGTGTTCCGATTAGAAGAAAGTGCTTCGACAGAACATCTCCATTTCACTCTGTAGTCTTCAGTCTTACATAGCTGATTCCATTATTGCCTATAAGCTTCCATCTTTTCCTCACAAGATCTGCTCCATGTTACCCTCAGACTCACGCGCCTACGTTCCACTCAAGAACCTGGTACATGATGTCATTCAACGGTTTCCTCAGTGTATTTCCAGTCGATCTTCATTATATTCAGCATATTTGTTGGGTGATAGATTCTTGACTAAGTCACTTGAACACGAATAGTTTGTGCAGACTGGATTTTCAGTGAATACTGGTGAATTCAATCTCAGCGTTAATCGTCGTTGTTAAGTGAGGCAAGTGTGTGTTGTAGAGTTTAAAGAAAATTGGCCATTTGATTAAAATTCTGCAATATTCAGCATATTCCTCAGAGTTCTTTTTCCCGATAGTGCTCTCATTTCCTTCATACTTTCCTTTTTTTACAAGCAAAAGACTAGTAGCATTTTTCTTCAGTGTCTCTGAAAAATATTCATAGTTTTCTGTTTCTTTTTTTTTCATTTCTCATTGATACAGATCCACCACCCTTAAGATCACCGTCATCCTATGAAGCACTTAGTCAAAATTCTGAATATTTGTCAGATAAACAAGTAAGTTGATTGGCACAAACTTTTTTTTTGTTTTAAGTGTATTTATTTATTAATATTTTGTATTTCAGGAAATACGTTGTAACGTTGTAACAGATTACGCATTGTTGTTAACTGATGAAGTCAGCGAGGCATAAACAAAGCTGTTTGTTTGTTTGTTTGTGAAAGCTTCTTTTTTTAAAAGTTTCATTTTTTCATCTGTACTCTGTCAGTTGTACACATTTCATTATAATAAAGGATTTCGTGTATTTCCCAATGAATGAATGAAAAACAAAACGGTATTACTGTTTTTACTGACGTTTTGCTATTTAATGCTACTGCTAATAGCTTTATCAAAATATTATTAAACCGGAATTTACAAAATCTCAGCATATATATAACAAAGAGTTAAGGGGTGAGAAAATAGACTACTTAGGTCAAGTTAAAAGGACATATTGAAAGTCGAAATAACAATGAAGATCACTAAACCAAATAACAAAGGTGATAGTACATCTGTTATGATATCAAAACAAAGTTTACTAACTTGATCATCGTTCGTCTGTCTGGGGGCATTTTTCGTTGTCAAGTTGGTGAATTGGTAAAGATAACAAAACCATCATGTGAAGATTGTTGGATTTGATCAGTGTGTAAAATTATAAAAGCAGTGTGTATTTACATAATGAAATTGTCTTGCTTTTCCGATTTTTGCTTTGATATCCTCGTCAGTTCCGCCTGTAGTTGACACGATGCTTCGCAGGTAGGTAAAAGAGGTTGTTTCTTTCAGGTCCCTTCCATTTATGCTGATTGCTGTCTGTTGTTGTTGTTGCTGTTGGTGGTGTTGGCCAGGAATCTTCATCACCTCTGTCTTCTCTATGTTCACCTGAAGTCTTATCTTTGATGCTTCTTCTGCCAACTTGTTGCTCATCGCTTGCATAGGATAGTTATTTAACACCAACGCCTCTTTTATGTGTTTCGTTTCATCATTTGAGTTTTTTGTTGTATTACTCAATGCTATTGCTCGGTTTGTTCGATAAAAGCTTATGGGGAATTATAGCGCCAGATAAAAGAGAGTGCATAGAACATAGTAAAATGGAGATGTTCCACTCGAAGCCTAAAGAATGAATAATAATATCTTTATTACTACACGAAACCCTTCGTCGATAAACTTGTAGAAACCTGCATTTTATGTAAAATGCGATACATCTTAAATTACTTTATCGAGCTCCTCTTGACTGATTTATATAATCGATCACATCACTTTTTTTTCTGTATTTCTTCGCTTGCCTTCATCACATATCGCTTGGAATGTAGGTTGAGACGTTACAAAGTCCTATAATCAGATTAGTTGCGGGGGTTTTCTTTCGTTCACTTGTCCTCTGATGAACACTAACCTTCCTTATTCCAGATGTTGAATTTTCCCATTTTTATCAAACACAAAATAATCGAGCAAAGAATATTCTTTTCGATAAATTCCCCTTCCGGCTCTACAATTATATATATGTTTATATACACAGAATATTCTAAATTAGTAGTCAATAAAAATATTAGTGTTTTTTAAATAATATCGATTTGTAAAGTAAGATCACAGTGGAATTACAGTTCATTAAAGATGCTTAAATTATAATAATAATGATAATAATAATAATAAAGATATAATAGCGAATAGAATATCAACTAAAATTAGGGAAATTCCACAAAAATTCATGATCATTCAAACCTGAATGGTCAAGGTAATGATAATTTCTGAACTAACTTCTTTTGGACACATAAATTAGGCTTATTAATATGGATCCCCACAGCCTCAGCAATATTTAGTAGTCGAACTCTTAAGGCAAAATTGAGATTCGTAGGTATGCGGTAAATGACACTTAAAGCATGATTAACGTCAATCTTGTGTCTTGTATCCACAAGATGAGACAGATTATCTCTGCAAATAGATTTTGTTTGTCCTTTGCTTAACCAGGCAGGGTGATGTTCGAAAATTCGACGCCTGGCTCCACAGGAGCAGTTACAAGAAAATCATCATTGATTCTCGTTCACTTTTATCCTTGATCTTATTTTCAACAGAAATAATAATTTTCAAGTATTGGTTTTGTAGGGGTTTTGTTTGATTGCATGAAGGATTTCATCATGAGCTGACATCAGTTAGAGAATCACTGGAAAACCTAGGAGTACTTGACAGCTGTTTCGTCCTAGTTTGGGACTCTTCATCAGTACGCACCCACCGGGTCCCAGTGGCTCAACGGTCTACGAGCTCGCCTTGTAACCAGAAGGTCCTGGGTTCGAATAATGGTGAGTGCGTACTGATGAAGAGTCCCAAACTAGGACGAAACAGCTGTCAAGTACTCCCAGAAATAATAATAATAAGTGAAGCTAAAAAAGTGTAGAATACCACAATAATGCAGTTAAAAGCAATAGAATTATTGAAAAGACATTTCTACCGAACTTGTCACACACACAGAGAGGTGTAACCATAGTAACCATATTCAATATAGAAGTACACGGGAATTTAGTAATCAACTTCTTTTCTTGTTTTTTATTTCTTTATACTTGGGAAATAAATCTTCGTAACTCTTCATTTTCTAGTAACAAATGATTACCTACCTATCTACCTATCTCATTGCCCAAAATATCTGAAAAGACATTTACTGCTATTGACATATCCAGTTTTAAAAAAGGCAAAAAACAACCAATAAATAAGTTTGCGTCATTCCTTTTCTTCCCTATCGTACGTACATATATGCCTAGTTCCTTGTCAAACTAGCTATCAGCTAGTACTTGTTCCGTTTTTACTTTTTTTCTAGTAATTTCAGTGTTAGTATGGGTGTATATGTGTGTGGTTGTTTGTCTGTTTATACGCATAGGCATCACTATTTTTCTTAGGAGTTAAAATCCAAAAGAACAAGTACATTTATACCTTAGTCAACTAAAATTCATCCAATTTGTTTCTCATGGAAAATAACATTGTAACATAAGTTGTTTTGAAAAACTTTCTTTTTTCCTCCCAAAAATTAAAGTGTGTTACTTTGACCTTCAGAACAAGCTGGATTCAGGAAAGGCAAATCATGTTCTGACCAAATTGCAACTCTACGCATCATCATCGAACAAAGCATGGAATGGCAATCAAACCCCTACCTCAACTTTATAGACTTTAAGGAGGCCTTCGACAGCGCAGCGTTGACCGCGAAGTAATTTGGAAACTACTGGAGTACTACGGCGTACCCCAAATATTCATCAACCTTATTCAACAGCTGTACGACAACGGCACATGTCAAGTGATCCACAACGGAAAAGTCAGCGAAGCGTTTGGAGTAAACACAGGAGTCAGACAAGGGTGCTTATTATCACCAATGATGTTCCTAATTGTGGTGGACTGGATTATGCGTCAGACAGTGGGACATCGAGCGCCAATCACCATCAACGGGAGAGATTCGAAAGAGGTTACTTCATTCACTTACCTAAGGAGCATTGTCTCAACTACAGGAGGAACGAACGAAGATGTCAAATCGAGAATCAGGAAGGCGAGAAACACATTCATCAACCTGAAACCAATCTGAAAATCTTCGTCACTCAACTCACCATCAACAACGAAATTCGGATTTTCAATACAAACGACGTCAAGTCAGTCAGTTCTTCTATACGGATCAGAAACTTGGCCAGTGTGTCACAAAGAATATTTCCAACAGCCTGTTGCAGACCTTTATCAACAACTGTCTTCGCTGGCTCTATACTGAAGATCAGATGGCCGGAAAGAATCACCAACAAGAAACTATGGGAAGAAGCAAAACAAGAACCAATCGCTCCACAAAAATGGAGGAGAAAGTGGAGATGGATTGGACACTTGCTGAGGAGGCCACTGGGTGACATCGCACATCAGGTCATAACTCGAGTGGAACCCGAAAGGGAAGCGGCGAGTGGGACGTCAGTGCAAGGGTGAAATGGAGGAGATCGTGTGAAGAGGAGTTGAAACAGTATGGACTAACATGGACGTAGGTGAAAAGTACGTCAGAAGACAGAAACAAGTGGAGACGTGCAGTTGAAGCCCTATGTTCCACTAGGAACCCAAGGGAACAATAATAATAATAATAATTTAATAATACTTCGTATTTCATCTGACTTTTTTAAAAGTTGATTGCTTATTACTGAATGGAATACTTTGCTTTAACAAGATGCTCTAACCCTATTAATTTTTTTACTAAGTGAACCCAAGGGAACAATAATAATAATACTTTGACCTTACCATAGATTGAACTTAAGACCTCCAGATCACAAGGTGAGTGATGTCGTCTGACTATTCAGCCACACTAAACTCCGTCTCACTGGCTCATCATTCATTTCCAACTTCTGCCAATTCACGGTATGTGGCGCCATGGCCTCCAGGCGATGCCACTGGTGGTGAGTATTCCTCCCCACCTCCTAACTTCGTGTGTACCCTGCTGGCGACGGTTGCCAACTAGAAAACTTCGAGCTACTCCATCTTGTAATCAGTCACTGGTTGGTGACAGATTCTCACCGGTGATATCGGCTGACAGTCACACTGTATATCGCGAATTGACGAAGGTTAGAATTGGTAGGCCATTGGATTCCGTCTCAATGGCTGAGTGGTATTCCAGTTCGCCTTAAGGTCCTGGGTTCTATCCCTGGTGGGGTGATAAATGCGTACTGCTGAATAATTCCAAACAAGGATGAGATGACTGTGTTGATGGTTCTCTAAATGAATGCAGTTCGTGATCTTATACTTCTTCAATTCACTTCATTAGTGGAGTAAACGGATCATTCTTATATTGCCAAAATTTTCACATTATTCTGTCATATTTATTCCAATAATAATAAATTTTAATTTTGTTTATTTTTCTCTACTGTTATAGACATTTATTCATTCGACTAAAAGTGAAATGCCTCAAACTGAAGATCAGCCTCAGCCTACTGGACATAAAATGGTTGCAGTTAGAAGTCCAGGTAAATGTCAAGTGTGTGTGTGTTTGAATGGCTGTTTTCACGCTTATTTGATCTCATTTATTTCTTTTACAATTGACCATCTGTGGCGTGGTTGTCTTTTATCTTAAATAGTGTGAATGGTTGTAAATCGGATACAATTTTAACTATTTTCACAGCGGTTTCCAGATGGAAATGCTGATGATGTTGTCTAGAATGAAACTAAAATCTTTGCAGTTAAACAGTCTACCTTAATTGCAATGTACTTGCAAAAGTATTATTATTATTATTAGCATATCTCCATTTCATCTTCTTTTATGAAGTCGTCTTTAGTTAGCTGCAAGATTGTCCATAAGCTTTCATCTCCTCCTCACACAGTCGCCTCCATGTCAACCTGAGACCCACGCCCAAATCGTCGTTTCTCACTCGGGTTCCATTCGAGCGATGGCCTGGTATGTGATGTCTAATTCTTCCTTGTCTGCCATCTGATTTTCAGTACGGAGCCAGCGAATGCAGCTGTCGGAAAATGCTTTTCGTGAGTCATGCACTAAGTTTCTGACCCATATAGAAGGACTGATATCAGAGTGATGAACGTTCCTCTTGTCTTTCACATTTCTGACTGATTTTCGGCATCTTTATCCGTCCCGACTACCTGTAGCTGAAACGGTGATGCCTAGATATGTTAAAGAGGTGACCTCTCCAGATTTCTTCCGTTGATAATGATTGGTGCCTGTCGTTGTTGTTGTTGACTGGCTATCTACATCACCTCAGTCTTTTCTACGTTCACTGGAAGTCCTGTCTTCGCTAACTGCTTCTTCTGCCAGTTTGCTGGTTTTCATCTGTAAGTCTTCGAGTTCTTGTGACATTAGACATAAATCGTGAGTGAAGTCCATATCTTCTGGAGTCTTCTTATCGGTCCAACGTATTCCTGTCTTCTTGCACACCCACTCATGGTATGTCGCATGACCCAGGCCATCACAATCAGAAATATCATCGGTGATAGCAGGAAGCTTCGTCTTACTCCTGTATTCACCTTAAAAGCTTCACTGAATTCTCCGTAGTGGATCACGTGGCACGTGGTATTGTCGATAATAATAGTAGTAAGTATTATTATTATGATTGTTACTCACTGAAACTACAAAGATGATGTTGACCAGATCTAAATTATACTCATGTTAATTATTCGTTCAATTTAGTTTTTTATTTTCCGTTACTTGATTATATTTGATCGAATTGTTCATTATCTGTTACACTGTCGGCTCCTAATACGGCAACTTCGACGATGTTTGACGATTAACATGATCAGTCGACGGGAAAAAAAAATCAACGCATAAAAAACACAAAATAATTGAGCAAAGAATATTCGTTTCGATAATTTCCTCTTCTGGTTCTACAATTATATATATATGTTCATATACATAGTATATTCTAGATTCGTAGGCTAATTACTGCGTCCAAAAGAAGTTAGTTCAGACATTGTCCTTACCTTGGCCGTCTAGGTTCGAATGATCCTGAATTTTTGTGGAATTTTCCTAATTTTAGTTGATATTCTATTCGCTATCATATCTTTATCATTGTTATTATAATTTAAGCATCTTTAATGAACTATAATTCCATTGTGATTTATTTAAAAAACACTAATATTGTTATTGACTACTAATCTCGAATATTCTATGTATATAAACATATGTACGTATAATTGTAGAGCCGGAAGAGGAATTTATCGAAAAGAATATTCTTTGCTCAATTATTTTGTGTTTTATAGATGTCTGAATGAATATTTTCGCTATATTAAAATCAACTTAAACAAATAATAACTAATGTCTGTTTCACAATGTGTGGTTCTCAAGGGCCTAGTGGATAAGGCTTCTGCCTTTGAAAGCAATGGGTGCTGAGCTCGAATCTCAGTGGGGAAAACCATTAAGCAATCACGATTCCTGGTACATCCAGGATTCCATTGCTTGTCACTACCCACCAAGTGTAACACCTCATAGTAATCAGTTGACTTTGGAATTCGTCCCAGAAAGATAAAGCCGAATTTCATATGCGTCCATTTTACTTAATTATTTCTAGTTTCTTATCACAAAGCATTCACTGTTATGCTTTGTTTCAATATTTAATCCTCGTGACACCATATTGCGTGGTTTTTATATATAAATAGCTGAATTCAATGTTTCCATTTCATCGTTAGTTGAGAGACAGATTTTATCAATAGAGACCACGCGGAAAAAGAAAATAGAAACGACTAACCGTTAATTTTGATGCGCCATTTAGATAACTAATAAAGAAAGAAAATGGCTATTTGCGTGAAATCACCTAACAATCATGTGATGAGTACTCACCATCTCTATGCTGATGAAAGCACTTAAGAATTTGATATTTAGTTTTAATCACTACACATACATGTATGTACATCTCAGTGGATAGTCATTAGCATACATGCTTCATTTGGAATATATCTGGCTAACTCTGAAATTTCGATAAGTATTTTGATTGGAAACTAGTAACTAGTGTGGCGTGTCTAGCTCGTCCTTTTTTGGTGCAGACTGAATTCTGTCAGTCAGGTTTACAATGTGGCCACCATTCTAGGTAGCTCGCCATCACGGTGCACATTGATTTGATGATGTTAGATGGTTAGAGACAATCAGCAGGAAGCCTTGGACCTAGGTTTTGTGCTAGTTGGCACTCACCAGTCAGCAAGGCGTATCTGAAACCTTGAAGGAACTCATGTCCCTTCTGAGATTCGAACCCGCATCACCCAGTGAGAACTGCAGTCAGAGACGGTACCACTGAGCTATTCGGGCTCGCGATTGACCTCCTGTAGGACTGTAGTGGGTATTTTGATTGAACACTAGTAACTAATGTGATGTGTCTAGTCATTTCTTTGGTGCAGAAGGGACATGAGTTCCTTCAAGGTTTCAGATGCGCCTTGCTGACTAGTGAGTGCCAACTAGCACGAAACCTAGGTCAGGCAAGGCTTCCTGCCGATTGCCCCCAACCATCTTATATCATCAAATTTCGATAAGTGTTTATATTTAAGTGTGCATGTGTGGAAGTGTGATCGTCTGAATATTTTGTCTCTTTTCAATTTTTGGTGTTGAAGTATTTGACTGATTTTAAGTTTGGTTACTAATTGCCTTCAGTTAGAGAGTTCCTGAAAACCAGGGGAGAACTGAAAAGCCAGCTCACCGTAGTTTGGAACTCTTCATAATTATGTAAGCATGAGCCCAAGCAGGAACGAACTCAGCACCTTCAATTTACGCCTTCGGTCAGTTGACCACTCAGGTCATGAATGCTGATTGCTACTGGTTGGTGATATATGGTGAAAATGTCAGTAAGTGTCGTCTGTGAGTATTTGTCCTTACACTCTACTTGCCAGACCCTGCAAAACCAACACATGGAAATTAACCTATTGGCAACGAGTGATTGACTACAGAACGAAGTTGCCTGATGTCCTAGTGGAAGGTCGTGTTATTTTAACAGATTGTATATTCACCTACTTACCTCACAAAGGTCTTGAAGTAGCTTATTAATACTCCATTGATAAGCAACTTTTTCATGTATGTATTTTGAGTAACATTTCCGTCATTTTTTGTTTTTGTTTTGTTTAACAGAGATACCTGATGCTTCCTATATCAATCCACATGAACCTTCTAGTTTAAAATCTTTGAATAGTAAATCATCAGAAAATGCAGCACATCTAGTTGGATCTTTTGATCATAATATTATGAGAGGAAGTGGATCATCATCTGGGCGTCAGACATCCATACAAAGTAGATCACCACATCAACCATGGGCTACAGGTACATCAACTTCTCAAATTCTTAGTCAACCAGGTGTCATAGCTGGTGAGTGAGTAATTAGTAGACACCCATTTTTATTTATTATTGTTATTATGATACTGTTTCACTTTCATTACTCTCAAGTCTGTGTGGAGGTCAACAGCACTCAGCATCAAAAATAAGATCCGAATTTTCAACTCCAATGTGAAGTCAGTCAGTGCTACTATACGGATCAGAGACTTGGCCAGCGCGTCATAAAGAGCATGTCAAACAAACTACAGACCTTCATTAACAGTTGTCTTCGCTCAATACTACTCAAGATCAGATGGCCGGCCAGAAAAGATCAGCAACAGGGCGGCATCTCTGGGAGCGAACCAACACAGCAGGAACCGATTGTGAAACAAATAGGCAGGAAGAAATGGAGATGGATTGGCCATATTCTGAGGAAACCATCAAGTGACATCACTAGATAAGCCATTGCTCGAGTGGAACCCGACGGAAAGGGAAGCGGCGAGTTGGTCGTCAGTGCTAGGGTGGGTGACTTGGAGGAGGTCATGTGATGAGGAGATGAAAACGTGTGGGCAGACTTGGAGCCAGATGAAAACTCTAGCAGAGAACCGGACGCAGTGGAGATGCACGGCTGAAGCCCCAGGTTCCTCTAGGAATTAAAGGAAATAATAATATGATAACAAATATGATACTGTTATTCCCTTGAGTTTCGAGTGGAACATACGGTTTCAACAGCAGATCTCCTGTTCTCTGCAGTCATCTTTAACTAGTCTCACGATTTCGTATAAGCATAATTCTCCTCCTCACTCTAGCGAGATGACCTGCATTGCACGTGATGTCACTCGCCGGTCTCTTCAGCGTGTGTCAGATCCACCTCCATTTCCCCCTGCATATCTATTGACTAATAACTTCAAAATAAACGGACGTGACATGTGTTGCCGCTCTCCTTTGTTTTATACTTTTTGTTTCTGTTTATTTCTTATTGAGTCGCCTCTCACTAGGTAAAGAGATGATGACACAATTGATTTTCTACCTGAAGTATGGCCAATGCCATCCTTTAGACAGTACTCGGGTTATCTGCATGGTTCTACTAGCAATATCAGATTGCATTACTGGTTGATTGAGGCAAGAGTTAACCCAAAAGGATCTCCACTTTTGCTGTGGCTGAATGGTGGACCTGGAGGCTCGTCCATGGAGGGACTTTTTAGTGAAAACGTACCTTACAATGTATTGGAAGGGATTTTGCTTCGGTGGCATACTGGTTCGGACGCTCGCCGACCGTGCACATGGTCCGGGGTTCGATCCCCGGCCGACACATTCCTTTACCTCGCTAAGCCAGAAATAATGCTGGTGAAGAGGAAAGGTTGGGAATGAGGCTAGTAGCGACCCCATCCTGTAAAATAAACACTGCTACAGAAACTTCCAACCACTAGCTTGAAGCCCTATGTTACACTGGGAACGTGAAGGAAAAAAAATAATAACTTCTTGGTTGGACTTTTTCCGGAGTTTCTTGTTGAGAATTCTGATTGGTTGGCCATCTAATCCTCAGGAAGAAGCCAGGAAAGGCAGCTGTTGCTAAAAGTGTGTAGTCTATTGAAAATGCTTTCCGTGAGGAATAAGCCAATTTGTGAATCATGTAGAAAAACTGCTTCACGCCTAAAACTGGTGTTGAAAATCCAGATTCTGTTGTTTATATCCAGTGCAGAAAATCTACAGACTGAATTTATTTTCGATTGGATGGAGGATTTCATCATGAGCTGACATTAGTTAGAAAGCCATTGGAAAACCTGGGAGTACTGGACAGTTGTTTCGTCCCAGTTTGAGACTCTTCAGTAGTACTCACCCACCCACCGGATTTCGAACCCAGGACCTTCTGGTTACAAAGCTAGCGAGCCCGTAGACCATTCAGCAGCCACTGGGACCCGATCCAATGGCCAGCCAGTACATGAATTCTAACTTCTGACAATTCATGACTAGGACGAAACAGCTCTCCAGTATTCCCAAGTTTTCCAATGGTTCTCTAACTGATGTCAGTCAGCTCATGATGAAATCCTCCATCCAGTCAAACTGAATCCCTACCAAAACCAATACTTGAATTCCTTTTTATTATGCTGTTGTTCTTTTTTTTATCGTCAGCAAATATCACCAGACAGATAGATTATAGTTAGTAATTCACACCGTCTGCATTCCGTTTTACTTCTTTTTTTTTCAACACTGATAATAAAGAGGTTTCGAAAATTTCTAATGACGTTGGAGTATATCTATGACATTAAAATGAGAGGCTTTCGGTGAAGAGTTACTTTTTTCAGCGATTTCACTTTCAGGACATACAATCGCATATATATATATATATATATAATTCATTGTTATAGCAACAAAATCAATATTTATCCATGTTCTTTTTTATTTCAAATACATTAAGAAAACATGATAAATACTTAGAACTAAACTTTTTGAATGTTTCCAGGTATTTAAATCACTTGCATTGATTTTTGAATAAAGCAAATAAAGGGAAATGTCATTTGAAACAGAAGTACATACTGTTGTACCAAAGATACACATATGACTATTACAGAAAGTAGATTAGAATAAAATTGTTATTCAATTCTCGTCGGATTTCCGAACAACAGCCTGCTTAGTGGTTAAGTAAAGGACAAACAAAATCTAATCGTAGCGCTATTCTATCTCATCTTTTGGATACAGAACACAAGACTGATGTCAACCACGTGTCTTTCAAAGTCATTTACCCCATACCAACAAATCTTAACTTCGCCTTAACAGTTCGTTTACTAAATATTGCTGAGGCTGGCTGTTGAGATCCACACTAAGAAGCCTAATTTATGTGTCCAAAAGAAGCTAGTTCAGAAATTGTCCTAACCTTGGTCATCTAGGTTTAAATGATCATATTAATATATGTGTCAAACTTGGGCACTGTGGTAGTAATTAATTCCATATTAGTTTGTTTATTAGATATATCACACAGTGAAACAGTATTATTTACCGGATGAAGAACCTTCGAACACAATTTATTGTTCATAATCATATCAATTGTAATCACACGACTTTGAAACTTGAGTTTTATAGTTTTCTTTGTCGTCGTTGGGGTAGTAGAATTTTCCCGAAAACTCGGAAACCGTACACAGAATTCTTAATAAGGCAGGAATAAAAGTGGCTGGCATTCAAACCCGCAAACTCAATTAGAAACAAGCTTTCTTGGCTGAAAGAACAATTTAGTTTATCTAATACCCTCCAATTATTCTCAGGTCAAACACATAGGTCAAAGTAGTAGAACAGGGGCAGTCAGACTAGTGGAGCATAGAAACCTAGCAAAATCTAGATTGGTTGACCCGAATAAGATAAGAAGTCTATAGAATAGTTCAACTATAGCACTACATGCAGTTACACACAACCATACAATAGGATGGATGGGATAAGATGAAAGTTTTAAAATCGAATGTAACAGCTGGGTGGAGTGAGAGATTGATAACAGCTTTGTTTATCGAATCGACTGCAAACACGTGTAATAGGAATGGTTCAACACCTGTCCCAGACAGTTGGAAAATTCTACTACCCCAACGACGACAAATAGCAGAGAACAAAGAGAACTATAAAACTCAAGTTTCGAAGTCATGTGATTACAATTTATATGATTATGAACAGGAATAAATTGTGTTCGAAACGCTGTCATCCAGTAAATAATACTGTTTCACTGTGTGATATATCTAATAAACAAACTAATAGGTCCGAATGATCTTCAATTTTTCGCAGAAATTTTCTTTAATTTTAGTTGATATTCTATTTGCTATTTTATTTTTATGATTATTGTAATTTAAGCCTCTTTAATGGACTGTAATTCCACTGATCGTATTTTACAAATCTATATTATTTAAAAAAGACTAATATTTTTAATGGCGACTATTCTAGAATATTCTATATATATATATATATATATATATAATTGTAGAGCCAGAAGAGGAAATTATCGAAAAGGATATTCTTTGCTCAATTATTTTGTGTTTTATAGAATCAACATAGTTGAATATCCACTTGATAAGTGTGAAGAGAGTAAGCGAAAAGTGTTCATCTGTAGAGAATGCTTGCTAATCATGCACGTGGTACGGATTTTGATCACTGGCCAACTCACTCCTAAACCTCTACTAGCTGGTAGTGATCCCGGTAAAGAGCAAATGTTGGATTTGAGGCTGGCAACCCTTCTCCCCCCCTAGCCGGTGGTTAAAAAATAACACCGCTGCTACTGGTACTTAAAACCTGAAAACTTGAAGCACTATGTTCCACTAGGAACTAAAAGGAAGAAAATAAGGAAAAAAAATAATAAAACTGTACAAAAGAAACACATGTAAGAGGGATAGTAGTGAATTATTAGCGAAAAATAGAAGTGAACGAGCAGAAAAGAGATTGTAAGATCATGGTGTAAAGATATCTATAACTATTATTGTGTTTTTAAACATTTCAAACATGTTTAACTACGCTATCTATGATTAGTAATCAGTAGTGGGTCATGAGATAGCTGTTGTTTGCTAGTGTCTACTAGACAACTAGTACACATTTAACATCCCCAAAACATAAAAGCTGTCTTTCTAATAATAATAATTTGATTTGATTGCAAAAGGAGGTTTTCAGATAACAGTTTCCTTCTCTACGCATCTTTCCGTTAATTTCTTAGCTTCACAACTGCAGATATTAAGTTGCATGGTGTACTTCTATCATCTTATCAGTCATTACTCTTCAGTACTAATAAAATTAAAATTTAGTTCACAAACTGATATCAGTTACAGAGGCATTGAAAACTAAGGAGTACTGGACAGTTGTTTCGTCTTAGATTGGGACTCTTCAGAAGTATGCGTCCATGACCCGACGAGGAATTAAAATCTCAGGGCTTCCAGGTTACGACACGAGCTTGTTAACCATTCAGCCACTTGAATACAACCCAACGACTCATGAATTCTAACTTCCGCGTATTCGCCTGCCATCGATGAGTATTCGTCCTCAAACCCAACTTGGCTGCCACCCGCCACCTGTTATGATTTCTCATTGGAACAACTGCTCAGTACACCCTGGTTCTAAGTAGTTCTCCAGCTGATGTTGTTAGTTCATGATTCAACTTGGGACACAATCAAATCCCTACAAATCAACCAACAGCTATGAACTAATAAAATTAATTGGTATTCAAGTCTTCAGATGAATAATAACAATAATGATTTACTTTATTCCAAAAACAGTACTTGTGATACAGAATGGAATTTTCAGCATTAATCACAATATTGCATCTAATTTCCTCAAATTATAAATAAAAATTAGTCACAGAAATTTTTCCACATTTACAATAGGGGTAATGTCAAAAAATATGCAGCATATAAAATGGAAATAATAATAATGATAGCAGCTAAGGTAGTAATAATAATAATACAAGTGAAAATTGCAGTGGGCTTTTTTCACACAGTATTGTCGATGTGGTATAGAAATCCTAGCATGTTTAAAAATATTAAAATATAATGTCCTCTTTACATGATATGGTGAGGGGAAAAACAAAGAATACAGAAGTCATAGAGATAAGTTGGTGTTTGCAATTATGAAAGTAAAAACAAAGAAGCAACAGGACCATAAATATAATAGAAATAATAAAACTTGAAGGTATATAAGGATGGATGGAGGAAATTGTTTATTTACTAGATGAAAAAAGGTTAGTTAATTCTTGCCTGACACTATTTTCATCACATAAAATACGTGCCAAGTATAGTATCATAGGATTTTTATACTTAGACGTGCGAGTATACAGTTTTCTGAAGTTACTTCTTTTTCTACCTGAGGAGATGCAAGGTGAAAGCTGAGGGTGAAGTGGATGCTCCGAGTCAGACAAAATCCTTTTAGCAAATTTACTGCACGAAGTCAAGTGACCATCGACAACGACGTGAACTATATAGTCCACTGGGACACCACTCATCCTACTGACAGTTTTCAGCATTCTACGAATTGTGACATAGTCCTTTTTAAGCAAACCAGGAAAGAGTAAGGGTGAACAATACAGAAGAATAGGTAGGATGCAAGAATTTATGAACTGCAAGAGGAGGGGTTGAGTTATACCCGAGTGCCTTAACTTCTTAATGTAAAATGTCAGACGGAATATTTTACTGGAGATCGCTGAGACATGGGAAGACCAGGAGAGACCAGGAGAGAGAATAAGTCCAAGATACTTAATTTCTGATTTAATTGTCGTCAATCTTGCAACTGTCATGAGAATCGACGGCTTCTTTTAACTGTCGTTTACATCTCAAGCTGAAATTGACAGTTTGGCATTTAGAATGAAATGTCAGGATAGCTTTAAAAATTGGATCGATTGTCTTTTTAATTATCTTTCTAACAAGTAATCAACGTGAACGTTATGCAGATCTTGTACTGTGAAAAGGATTCTATGTTCCACGTTGTCCTACATACGCAGTCTAACCTTGAGTTTCCACTGTGGATAGTGTGAGACTTCCCTACTACTGCTGCTGCTGCTGCTAATATACTACTACTTTTCTATGTGAGTGAAAAAATCTCACTAACCAGACTGAAGTTTTTAACTCAAGCGTAACGTATAGACAGTTATATAATTCCCTTTTTTTGCATTGCATTGAGCTGTTCAGTGAAACGTTTTTGTTCTAATCATAGTGTTATATAATTGTTTTTCATCTTTCCCCACCCTCCCTGTTGTTCTCTTTTATACACACATATATATATATGTGTGTGTGTAGGTATCGTTGGAGGTGTTGTTGTCGTCCTGCTGCTGTTAATCCTCCTAATTCTATTCTGTATTTATCGTCTGCGTAAAAAAGATGAAGGCTCATATGCGCTAGATGAACCGAAAAAATTGCCTACAGTCAACACGTATACAAGAGCGCCAACACGTGAATTTTATGCTTAAAAACAAAACAGCAAATGAATGACATAGTCGTTTAATGGATTACTTTTTGCTTGCTTGTTTGTTTGTATATTTACACTGGACTAACTAACTAACTACATCACTAACTAATCCCATAATAATTGATTGATATATTTTGTGCAAGTCAGTCAATGCGCATGCACACACACGGTGGACGAACGTAGGCATGCATATGCACACACGAAAACACGCAGAGAGATTCTGGTAACTAGGTATCTGATTAACTGTTGTCGATCTTCCTTCCTACTTCACTTTATAATTCCCTTTCCCCCCTAATTTCTCCTCTTGGTATGTGTTTTTTCTTTCGCAATCCTTCCTGTTTTTTTTGTGGTGTTCTTATTTTGATTTCTTTTTCCTTTTTTATGTAATCACAAACCAAACCTGAATATCAATGATGATTATAATTTAAGTAAAGTAGTAGTATAATTACTCGTCTTTTGTGCAATCTTGTATAGCTGTATTGATATTAATAGTGGACAGAGATCAAAGTCTTTTTTTGTGTAAATTACTGACTCCTTCCTACACACCTACATACACCTACACATGCAGAAACACACAATAAGATTGGTTTTCCCCTGTTTTCAATTTCCCCGCTTTCCTTATGTGCAATATTACCATTATTATTATTATTACTACTCCAGTAGTAATGTTTGTGTGTGTATAAAACATTTGTGGATATCCTTGAGAAGAGGATGCAAAAGAGTAAAGCATAATGAATTCAGTCTCTTCGTGGCTATTTCTCTCCTCTCCTCTCATCTCATCTCTGTGAAGTCTTTTTGTATAATCCCACTGACTGCCCTTTGGAGAGTGGCGTATTTTGCATTTTTAAGTTGTTCTTTTCTTTTCTTTTTTTTGCATTTTGCATTTTATGCCAGTTGGTTGTTTTGTGTACCTCCTCATTTTTGTGTACCTGCTGTTTAATTTAATCCTCTGATTTCATTTTTCTTCTAAAATTTATTGGTTTAAATATGATCTCAAATGTTTGATCTCAAAAATGATCCATACATATGCACATATTGTTCTGTTGGTTATTCTGTGTGGTGTTGACAGTTTGAGCAATGCTGTGTGTTGGGCATCATGAAGCTACGAATGAATCTGCTTTCTCTTTTTTCTAATTTTATTAAGACAATATAGAGTTTTGCATAAAAGTACTGCTGTTAACTGCTCTGTTTAATTTATCTTACATGTATACGAACACAGAGCGACACGCATGTTATGCAATATAAATACTAACTAACTATAAAGAGTATTGAGATTATTGATAAGGAAACAGAGAAGAAGAACAAAAAACAAAACAAAACAAACTGGATCTATTATAATATGATGAAGTCCTTTCTTTCTTTTTTTTTACTCATCATGTACACCTTTTCTTCCTCTTTGGATATTTAAAGATGAGATATTGTGATCGTGTTGATTTTTATTTGTACTACAAAATAGAAGTGATTCTTATCCTATTAAAATCTTTTTTTCTTCTTTCCTTTACACATGATGTCTGATTGGCGGTTATAATTGTTGGGGCATCTATCTCTCTCTCTGGATTCAACATAGAACTTGGCACCGAAGAGCAGCAGTTCGAATCGCCACGTTCCAAATAGCACACAAAGGTAGACAAGAAGATGAGTGAAGAGAATCAATAGAGTTTTGACAAGTATAAGAGTGAAACAGAATGATTAATGGTAGAAAGGAATATGAAAGGTTAAAGAGACTGAATACATCTGCGTAAGCCATTGACAACGATGAGTTTGAGCCATGTCACCTATTGTCTCCAGCCATTGATTCTTAGAGTCCCGAGGGCGGGCCCCAACCCGGAAGTCTGCATCTCCCTACCTGACTCGGTTTAACTGTCAAGGATTTCATGGATTGATGAGGCCATGTTTTTGTTTGGCCATCACTTACTCTTTTCCAATCTGCACCTATATCAGCTAGTAATGCCCGTCCGTCGGCGGAGGCGATGGTTAGGCATGCGCAGCACGTGACCTAACCATCTCAATTTATGTAACTTTATAGCATCGTCAATTAATTTCCCCTCCTATCCTAGCACTCGGCGCCTAACCTCAATATTGCTCACCTTATTATACCACTTCACACTGGAGATAGAACGCAGGCACCTATGTTTAAAAACAGCCAGCCAGCCTTTTCATGTCCTCCACTTTCAATGACCATGTCTCGCTCACAGACATAAAGAAGGACGGAGCGGACTGTTGAGCAGTACACACGCCCTTTGGTCGATAGTCGGATATCACGTCTACGCCAGAGACGGCGTAAACTGGCATATGCGAACCTAGCCCTCTGTATTCGTGCTGAGATTTCGTCGGAGATCAACCCGTTGGGGCTGATGGTACTTCCGAAGTAAGTGAGACGGTTAGCGTGCTCTACCACTTCACTTCTTATTCCTAATCTAGGAGTCAGTGTAGTCCAATCTTGTAACATCATCTTGCATTTGGCGGGAGCGAATCGCATGCCAAACATTCGTAGATTGCAGCTCAATGTGTTCAGAAGACTCTGCATTTTGTCAGCGTCCTCGCCTAGTAGAACTATATCATCTGCATATTCTAAGTCAACGAGATTATTCCCTGGTAGCAAGTCACTCCTTGAGTCGCTGAAGTGACCTAGGGTTAATGACTTAATAAGTACATGGATTCAAGAGACACTTAAAACTACCCTAAGAATAATTTATGTTAATTACGTTTATTTAACATATTTCTTGTAACATATTGATTACTGGGATGTATTGAATGCATATGTATTGTATATTTTGGCTGGTCACTAGTTAATAACTAAGTGTCATGTTTCTAGTCCTTTGTTTACTGCTGACTGAGTTCTGTCAGTGAAGTCTTGCAACGTGGCCGCCATACTGAGTGGCTCGCCGTCATGGTGCATTTTGAATTGTTGATATTAGATGGTAGGAGGCAGTGAGTGGGCAAACAAAGGACTAAACATTTAATTCAATTTTAGATTTTACCGTCGATTGATTGGACCGAAGTGCTCGGTCTCAGGTCTAGTGGATAACGCTTTGGCGTTTGAAACTATAGACACTGGGTTCGAGCCTCGATGGGAACATCATCATTACTCACTGAGGTATGCAGGTATATCCAGATGACGAGTCCCAAATAGGACGAAATGCGCGTTGTCCTGGATTCCACTGCTAGTCACCATCCACCAGTTAAAGGACTAAGCACAATACACTAGTTACTAACTGGTTCCCCTGTCAAAGTTTCCAATACAGTCCTACAAGAGATCAGTTGCAAACCCGAATAGCTCAGTGGTAACGTCTCTGACTGTAATACTGGATGATGCGAGTTCGAATCTCTGAAAGGAAATGGGTTCCTTCAAGATTGCAGATACGCTTTGCTGATGAGTGAGTGACAACTAGCACGAAACCTAGGTCCCGGCAAGGTTTCCTGCCGATTGCCTCCAACCATCTAATATCATCACAAACAATGTACACCGTAATGGCGAGCTACCTAGAATGGTGGCCACATTACAACCTGACTGATAGAATTCAGTCTGCACCAAAGAGAGGACTAGACGCATCACACTAGTTACTAGTGTCAAATCAAAATAGGGTCATATATTGCAGAGACTGTATATACTGCTCTTGTGAAATTTGTCGGAAGATACTAAGTCAACTTTATCCTTAGCAATATACACATGCATTTTACTGTTTACACCTACAAGTTCAGCTTTTAGATGGGATTTCTAACAAAAATGAAACTAGAGTCTCCGTGAGAATTCAAGCGAATAGTCTGTGTAAATTAGACTGTAAAGTTTCCATTAAAGGATAATAGCTATTGTTGTGTATGATATTTAACGAAGTATATGCCTCCTCAACATACTACGATAGGTACTACTTCAGGGAGCTTGAGAATATTACGTGAACTGCTGTATTTTCATTTTTTGCTGCATTAAACTGCATTGTAGCTGCCGCACAAACCAAATTAAATATTCAGTAAAGTTGTCTATTTTGTGGCAACTAGCACGAAACCTTGGTCAGACAAGGCTTCCTGCCGATTGCCTCCAACCGTTTAATTTCAACAATGAATACACTTGAGCAGAAAGTGAAGAATTTCCGGCTAGCTCCTTGGGCGAAATAGTAACCCCCTAAAAATGAAATTCACCATTTGCAAATTACTTGGGATTTACACAGTTTGAGAAGTTGAAATTCCACCAAAGTTCCCTTTTTTTCTAATGGCGTTGATTGTAAATAATCTACAAATTGTGAATTTCATTCAAGGTGTTACCAGTTCGCTCATGTAGCCAGACAGGAATCAGGTGTGCTTTGAAACTGAGTCGGTGACAGAGCGGTTTGGACGCTCACCGACCATGCACATGGTCCAGGATTCGACCCCCGGCCGTCGCGCACCCGATATCAATGGTGGGGCTGCTAAATTTGGGCTACCGATATCATATGCTGAAAATTTTATACTTGTATCAAAAATACGGTGTGGAATCAAGCTGTAGTAAAAAATTTTCAAAAAAATAACTACTTTTTCAAGCTAAGTCAAACTGGGTACACTGCTGATGAGCTCCACCCCAAACGAGTGAAATGGCCGTCCGGTCTTTACACCATGTCGATTTGGCTGGCTAACTAGAAAGCACTACTGGTTGTTGTTGTGAGTAGTATACAACTACTCATCTCAATCAATCAGTAGTATATACTTTCATGCAACTATGCTTGTTTCCTTTGATTACTATTTATAGTACCAATTAGATCCCACAAATTGTGGCCTGAATAACTTCAGCTTCTAAAGGAAACTGTAGATATGCTGGAGAGAAGATTTGTAGCTCAGGTTGGTGATTTTGATGTGGTTGTGTTCTCTGAGCTAGCTGGATAGTTATTTTGCGAAGCTTTCGTCGCCCTACTAGACAACATCTTCAGCGCATGCTTCACTTCAATAAATTGAAGTATGCTGGCTGGCTGGCTGGATTCAACATAGAACTTGGCACCGAAGAGCAGCAGTTCGAATCGCCACGTTCCAAATAGCACACAAAGGTAGACAAGAAAATGAGTGAAGAGAATCAATAGAGTTTTGACAAGTATAAGAGTGAAACAGAATGAGTAATGGTAGAAAGGAATATGAAAGGTTAAAGAGACTGAATACATCTGCGTAAGCCATTGACAACGATGAGTTTGAGCCATGTCACCTATTGTCTCCAGCCATTGATTCTTAGAGTCCCGAGGGCGGGCCCCAACCCGGAAGTCTGCATCTCCCTACCTGACTCGGTTTAACTGTCAAGGATTTCATGGATTGATGAGGCCATGTTTTTGTTTGGCCACCACTTACTCTTTTCCAACCTGCACCTATATCAGCTAGTAATGCCCGTCGGGGGAAGTATGCGCTGAAGATGTTACCTAGTAGGGCGATGAAATCTTCGCAAATTAACTATCCAGCTAGCCCAGAGAACACAACCACGACATCAAAAAGGAAACTTTGATGAATATTTCACCTCCTCGAACTGTGTAAATTGCAAATAATTTAAAAATTGGGAATTTGATCTGTAGGAAGCGAAAACGAACTTGTTTTCATATAGATATTTCTTATAAAACAATAATAATAATAATGGGGGATTTCATATCGATTGGTTGTTCATTTTTTCATGCACGACTCATAAGAACATCACGTCATCGCTGAATGAAGTTTGAGAAGAAAAAAAAGAAGATGAATTGAAATGACAAATGTTTTTGGACAGTAATTCTTGCGTGATTGACTTACTTG